AGAACTGCCAATAAACTAAAAAAATCTAAACTAAAAAAAACAATTATTTGCCCCGTTCTGCTCAGAATGAGAAAGGGCATTATCAAAAACCACTCAGTGGTTTCTTGCTGCTCCAGGGCAGCAAACTTAAAACAAATACTCCATTAATTTATTGGTTTTTATATTTATTTAGATTTCTTAATAACCCACAGCTCTAAGTTATAGTACTTCAAATAAGCAGCAGCAACAATCAAATATGAAATGCAAATGAACTGCCCAGCCCAAATCATTCAGAGTAGAATAACAATTGAGTAAAATCAATGTAAGACCCCCTCCTATATCTAACCACCTGCAGCCCTTAATACACATCCTTGTCAAAAGTCCACATGAAAAGATTTACTTTTCGTGGCCTCTATGAATGGAAACACATCCAGGCTCCAGTAGACTTGACAGGGAAGTGTGTTTCAGAGTATAAGGACTTCTCATAGGAAAAAGTCCTGCCATCTACGTGTCTCCTTTTAAATCAGGGGTCTGTATGCTGATTGCTGCTGTGGTGCTATTGCATAGGAGACAGTTATAATGAAATCTTGGGCTTCTGAGTTTAAATGGAACTTATACAGAGGTCAGGAAGGAATTTTACAGCATACCACACATCTGGCTTGTTGGACTCTGTATGCATGACAGACCAACTGTCTGATGTCGCATTCTTTTTCATACTACTTTTTGTGTATAGTTATTCCTAGCTCCATTTCTGACTGCTGCTTTGGACAGAATTCTTGTGAACTCTCTTATCATAGGCCTATGGAAGGCCTGATTCTATCCCAAGTTGAGTCCACTGACATCTCTGGGAGTAGGATTAGACCAGAAAGATCAACTTTCTGACAGCAATTACTTCTATTCAAAATAGCTAATATACCCTATACTGCAAGTAGATTGTATATAAATGTGGTAACATACCCTGAAAAATGTATTTTCTGAGGCAGAATTAGAATTTTAATAACTTAAATTAGATGACCTGTTGGTGGGAGTTATCTACCATCTTCTCAGCCCAGTTCAATGACATACTTTTTATTAACTGGATTTCAAAAAGCCCCTCAGTGTGTAATGGCAATAGACTGTTTGAAAATTCTTTCTGTTTTTTTATATAAACATATAATCTGAACTTGGTTTAAAGGAACAAAATCATAACTGCAGTCTTTGTGCATTTCTCATTTGTATTTCTTATATTCTGTGATCAGTTATATCTCTTGAGATTTGTAAAGCAGTAAGATTGATGCACACTGGATATTTTTCATGCAATACAGAGACAATGCTACCCAAATTATTTAAAGGTTGTTCTTTTATGTGTTTCTCAACCTCCTTTCTATCTATTGCCCTTATCTATGTGAAGGAGTGTCTGTAGGTTCTCCATATTCCTATTCTGTTTTTATCTAGTCATATATTTACTTTGAAAGGTCAAACTACAAAATACAGTATTCCAATTCTTTGTTCTCTGTGGGGATTTTTACATCATAGTACTTTAATTATTGTTTTGTGCAAAAAATCTCTGTCGCTGTCCAGTCTGCTGTAATGATTGTCGGTGGATGATCCTGAAATTTAAAGAACTAGCCTTTAGTAGTAAGGATCTTATATAATTGGGAAAAGAACTGGAAGTCTGAGTCTTGGATTTAGTATACCTACAAGGAGGGGCTAAAATAATTATTATTTGGTTTTGTCTCTGTTTGACAGGGAGATTATACTGAAACCTGATTTTTATTCCCACTTCGTTATAATTGACTGCTATTCTCCAAACTCCTTCTCTAATAATTATCTCCCTGCTCTTACCTACTCCCAGATCACCTACACTATACCCACCTTTTCACAGTTCACATGGCCTCAGGGACCAGCTGCCTTTCTTGAGTCCTGGAGGTGGGGTACCACTTGCCTCTATTCTCCTCATCCAGTTATATGTGTGCTAGTCAAATGCATTTATGAGACATACAAAATCCTGAATCATACCTTTCCTAGAATTTTCTCCATGTTCTAGGATTTTGAACAGGACACTGTGCTTCTACACACAATTAATTATATTATGAGGACAGCATCAGGCAATGAAGCACTGCAGAGCTGGGATCCATAGAGGCTGCTGAGCCTCAAGATACAATGGAAGATCAGTGAATGTGAGGAGCAAAGAATATTGGAATCAAAATCTGCCCAGAGGGGAAGATATTTGCCCTTTACTTCTGTGCCCTGTACTACCATTAGTGTTTAATATGGGCATATCTGATTAGTTAGATTCTAATCTAATTATCCTGCCTTGTGGCAGGTTAAACAAAGTTCGACCTCAGTAATATGCAAAGTTTCAGATAGAGTTGTTTGTGAACTGAGATGGATACCTTTAATTAAATACTTTTCTATAGTAATTCACATTTTATTTGTCATGAAAAACATTACAGAATTTTGTGTCAGAACAAGATAAAAGAATAATCAATTAACTTTTTTGTTTTATTCAAATTTATGGTATAATAATGGGCATTACTTTTCTTTATAAATGTATTCAGTAGAAGACACTCACTTGTTTCCTAATTTCTGTGCAATAAGCATTTATACTTAGTATTGTTCCACATCAGAACGAACAATAGATCCAAATAAATGCTAGTTCCTTAACAAAGCAATGACTACGTAAATGAACCAACTGCTGTTACTACCATGCAAATTTAACAGCCTTTCACCCCATAATTTTGCTCTCAGATGCTAATAAATTGTATCAACAAAGATTTAATTCATTAGATTAAAAGAAATAGAGAGAGAGAGTTTTAAAACTCTACTTTTTGGGATGTATGGCATAGCTTCTTAAAAGGAAACTGCTATAAATATTCATATATTACTCACTAAAAGTTATGGCATGGCAACACACCAACCCCTTTCAGTTAACCATCAGTAGAAGGAAGTCCTAATAGCACTATTAATTTATCTGCTACAGAACTTTTACGAATCAGCCATTATCAAAAAGTAAAATATTACCAATGGCAAAATCTTCTGAGTTCTTGAGACACCAGCTGACAGATGTCCTCAAGTAAACAAGTAACTTTTTTTTTATTTTCCTGCCTGGCTTGTGTTAATATTGGGCTTCTAATACATTCTGTCTTGTAACAGAAGCAGAATAATAACAATACATTTGTACTGTTAAAAATTGTTTCACTTAATTGATGATGACACTGTTGGATTGTTAAAATTTACCGTATATACTCGTTCATAAGCCGAATATTTTTGGTAAAAAAGTGACGCATCAAAGAGCAGAGGTCGGCTTAGAAACAGGTCTACACAAAATTTGATGATTTTAAACTCTGTGGAATCATTGAGTTGAATATCTAATATATTGTCATTTTGTTTACTTGGAGCATCTGCAGTCATGGAGCCCCTCAGCTCCCTGTGGC